GGGAACAAAAATTGGTTTCCATTAAGGAGGACTTTCCCTTTTGTACTCCAAATGGCATTAGGACACCATGAGTGGACTGAATCAAGCTGCAAGTGCTTGTCAAGTCCCAGAGAATACATATCCCTTAAAAGTGGCAAAAGGCATTGGTAGAACATTGTGTACTTACATGAATAAGTTCTGTAAACAAGAATGGAAACTCAACAAATAGAAACAGTGTGCTTTTGAAGAAAAAAAATAAAAATCTTGTGGTACTTATTTTGTATATTTGGAAATTAAATGAGTGGTAAAGAACCACTGTGCCAAGCACTTTTTGCTGTGGTTTGACAGTTCTGTTGGTGATATTTGAGGTGTTAGACTGTGATTATTCTATACTTGAAGTCCATTATGGGTGCATTCAAGGTAGATCAGGATTTAGTCCTTTACATCCAGGCTGAAGAGTTCCAAGTCATACAGTTACCTGCCATTGGCTTATACATGAAAGGAGAATGCATGGCTTCCTCTCAGTTTAATTACTGGAGGTATTGGCCTGGAGAAACCTGCCACTAACACAGTGAGACTGATTTCAGCCTCTCATCTTGGCAGACCAGGTGGTTATTTGTAGTCACAAACCTTGCCCTTCTTTGACGGCTGTCACCTGTAATGGTTTAAAATTTGACTGAATGGGTTGTGTTGTCCCTGAGTCAAGTCTTGAACACAGCTAGAACTCCTTGATTGACTTTTGAGATCATTCAATTAAATAGCAGTAAATGTCTTTTCTTATTTTATTATTGAATTCCCTGATTTTATTATTCACTGCTCATTTATTCCCTTTTCTGTAGTTCTCAGAGAGTGTCAGTGATTTGAGTGGAACTAAATTTGAGGAAGACCATCTCTCTCACTATTCACCCTGGTCTTGTGGCACTATTGGCTCTTGTATAAATGCCATCGACTCGGAGCCCAAGGATGTGATTGCCAATTCAAATGCCGTGTTAATGGTAGGGCTTTTCTGCTTGTTATCTCATTAGTGTAATGATATTACATGCTGAAGTGTCTTCTGTTTGGTTAAACAAACCTTTTTTTAAAGTTCCTAGCTCCTATTCTTAGTATTTTCAAATAGTTCTGCCCACTGTAAGTTGTTTGGAATATCTTTTCCCAGTTTTGTAAATGAACAGTGTATTTACTTCAGTGACAGAATGTGGGGCCATCAGTAAAATTCTCAGATGTCTGAAACAACCGTAAATCGAACTTGTAACAAAATATATTTTGAGTAGATGGCCTGTAAACTGATAAGAATTCATTAATTTTAAATGTGTTCTCTGATTATTAGAATAGGATAAAAATTCTTGGCTTGATTTTGGTTTTGTCTCTTCAGAGATCTTTCTATAAGTGTATATATGTGTACACATACATCCTTGCAATTTCTGAGGCATCTAAAAGAGTCTCAGAATATGGTGCAGCCTGGTTAATGCAGGGTAGTTGTGGCCAGTTCAGAGCAGGTGTTTCCATTGCAGAAACACATTTCCTACTTGGCTTGAGTGCAGTAGTCCATCCTGCATGAATGAATCGCTGGCCTTTTCAGGATTCTAAGATTTGTTATGTTGCCATTGTTTCAGAAAATCTTTACTTTGAAATTAATCCCAAGAGCAATATACACTCACAGAAAAAAAAGTTGAAATACTGTGGACCCAGGATAATCAGCATGAACTTAATTAATCTTGGCTGCTTTTTACCCACAGAGAAGCTGTATGAACTGTTGTCTTAGACTACACCTCTTACTTGATTGGAAGGGACATTCTCCTCTAATAAACAGTTTAATGCCAACAAATAAAAATACGACGTATTTTTTTTTATCACCCAATTTCCATGAAAGAGAAAAAAGCTAAGGGACTTTAGGGAACAAAAAATATGTAATATGACTCATGGAATACAGCTTACCTCTGGAGGGGTAAGAGCTCATGCTTTTTGAAGGCTCTCTGCTATACAGTGTAGCAGATTATGTTCTATGAAACAAGCATAACTAAATCTCATCCCAAGCCTTCTCTGATCCTGGCTCCTTCAAGTATGGGGAAGGGTAATGAAAGACCTTAAAGCATACTGGAACTTTTTCTGCCTGGAAACACAAGCCTGGAAAAGCAAAATAATTTCTTTAAAAAGAAATAAAGGCAATAGTTAAATCATTAAGGCCCATCTTGGCCCTCTAGTCGGACAGATTTTTGGCATTGTAATTCAGCAACAATAATGGGAAAGTTATTGGCCTGGCCAACTGAAGAACCTGAATAACCTCAAATGAGTCCCTGTATCTTCTATGTCCTAAATATGTAGGATTTGGACAGCGGGGATGTTAAAAGGAGAGTGCATTTATTTGAAACTCAGAGAAGGGCAAAGGAAGAAGATCCTATAATCCCATTTAGCGATGGACCGATCATCTCCAAGTGGGGTGCAATCTCCAGGTCATCCCGCACGGGTTATCACACGACAGATCCTATTCAGGCCACTGCTTCCCAAGGAAGTGCTACTAAACCCATCAGTGTATCAGGTACAAGTACAGGCTTCGTATGACAATATAGCATACATCACGAGCATTTCATCCTGTTCATGCTTACTACAGCAATGAAGGTGCAAAGAGCTAAAATACCTGTATATCCCTCTTGAAGGACAGAGAAGATAATGAATGGTATCTTAATTTGTTACAGATTATGTCCCTTATGTCAATGCTGTTGACTCAAGATGGAGTGCCTATGGCTCAGATTCGACTTCATCAGCACGTTATGCAGAAAGGTATGGACTTTTTTCCTGTGTTCTCTTAAAAGCATTTTCTATAGCTTGCTGTTGTTCCACATCCTGAATGTGGGGGGAAAAAAATCTGGAACTATTAAGAGGTGTTCTTAAAGTGAAAGTTGTTTTCCTATCCAGCATTAAGTCTTGGAAAAAACTAGGTTAAAAGTTGTGTAGCCTTTAATACTTGATACAGCTAATAGTACCTAATGACTAGCAACATATCCCTTGAGAGACCTAATCAAAGAATTGGAGTCAGGTACTGCCAGGCTGTCATGTCAAAATCTCGAGTAGTTTCTCTTAAATTTTCTTGCCACATCTTCCCTGTATGTAAAATAAGGATGTTTGCTTCATGTAATGCTTTGGGATACTGTGAGCCCCAATGAAGATGGAGAGCTTATTATCTTAGTCACATAGTTTCTGTCCTAAAAGCTAACGCTGATAGACTAAAGAAGTTTATGGGGCCTTTGATTTAGAGAACTTGGGTTTAATTCCTAGTTTTCCCTTCTTTCTCTTAAAGGGACAGGTTCATAGTCACAGATTTGTCTGGTCACAGAAAGCATTCCAGCACTGGAGATCTATTGAGTATTGAATTACAGCAGGTAAGATCAGATGTTATACCACGTGGCTTTTTTAAATTAAAAAAAAAGTTATTTAGTAAAGTGATTTGAAATAAATTTTCTTAGTGTAGCCTACAGAAAATAGTATAATTGACGAATTGATCAATAAGTTAAGTAGATGCTAGTCCTGCAGCACTTAGGATGATGCATAAGGACTGCTAATAGGAGCTGTTCCATTGACATCAGTAAGGCCATTTTTGGGAGAAAGCGGTGGGCCTGAGACATGTCTGCAAATACAGAACAAAATAAATGCTGTGCATTAAAGGAATCCATAGTTATCCATCCAGCAAGGGAACTTGTAAGCTGATTTATTTTGCCATTTGAGGATATGTGGTTTAAGTGTAGCTGTTGGTAACTGATAATGTTTCTTTCCGTAGGCCAAAAGTAACTCGTTATTGCTTCAGAGAGAGGCGAATGCACTAGCCATGCAACAGAAGTGGAATTCTCTAGATGAAGGCAGTCGTCTTACCTTAAATCTTTTAAGCAAGGACATTGATTTGAGGAATGGTGAGGTAAAGAAAGGGGTAATTAGGATGAAACAAATCTTTGAGGGTTTTTTTTTTGTCTACATATAGAATTATAGCATGGATTGGGTTGGAAGGGACCTTTAAAGGTCATCCAGTCCAACTTATACATAAGCACACGCATTTTAACTAAGAGTTAAATGCTTAGTTTTTTAACATTCACAATATTTATAACTCATTCCATGGAAGTCAAGTCACTGTTGTTGCTGCAGCCAGTTATTTCCCTGAGATCAAGTAGGTGCACCTGCTATGCTGCTGCTCTATTCTCCCATTTACAAAATGGGAAGAATGTGACAATCCATTTTCATGCAATCATTACGCTTTGTCCTGCTTGTACATGCTATAAATCAAAACATTCTGCCAATGGACTCTACAGAAATTTCTACTTCAGTATTTGTTTTGCCTCTCTATCTCAGTACTTTAATATGCTTAGATTTAGCTTTGTATCCTGTTTTGTCTCTGCCTGAAGTTCTATTCATGTCTAACTAGCTCTTTTGTATTGTAGAAATGTTGTATCCTGGAAATGCATCTTCTGTTTTCACTTTAATACTCAAGTGTTGTGTGAAGCAGGTGAAAAACCAACTTGACATTTACAGAACCTATTCATTCTTTTTTTAGACTGATTATACTGAAGACTGTGCAGACACAAAGCCAGATCGAGACATTGAGTTGGAGCTGTCAGCCCTTGATACAGATGAACCTGATGGGCAAGGTGAACAAATAGAAGTAAGTATAAAAATCAGCATGTCTAAACAGCTCACGGCATCCTTTCATGAGTTATTCCAAAACTGCTACAATTTCTTTGTGAATTGGTAGATTATGTTGATAGCAAAGCCTTTGGGTTTTAGTCTCTGTAGTCGGATCAAACATGTTCTTTATTTTAACACTAGGGGGTCTCGTGCTTACTCAGAAACCTGGCAGTTAATGTTACCGAAGTTAGAAACAGCTCACTGTGTTCTTTGTCGTGGCTTTCAGCTTTTGGCTCTTTATCTTCTAGTAATGATGGGGAGTCCATTCCTTTCCCCTTCCCCTCCAGTGTTGAAACTGTAGTTAAGACTATTTTACATGGAAGTTTCCATTTAAATGTGATCATTTCATTTAAACTTTGTGCTCACCTGATTCTAATAGTAAAGTCATTTAAATTATTGTAATCCAATGTTCTTCTATTTTCACTACTATTTATTTTTTTCTTTGTAATTCTTGTGCATCTGCCCCAGTTTCCTCTATGCTATTTCTTCCTTTCCTGTGTGATCATAAAACATTCTGGTGTTCATCCCAAGCATTAGGATCAATTGTCCTTTTTTTTTTTTTTAAGCATTGTACACTTAAAAGAAATCAAATTTTTTTAACAACTGATGTTTATACTACTGTTGTCATTCACTGCCATCTTTGAATAATAGGGTTTTTTTCTATAGTATGAAATAAAAATAAGGAGCCTTATGGCAAGACTCCCATTTCCATCAGCTTTATGCAGTGGAACATAATAGAAGAATTCAAAGCTGGTAGCGACGGTATTGATGGACATTTCTCCTTTTGTCCTGTAGGAGATTCTGGATATACAGCTAGGTATTAGTTCTCAAGATGATCAGCTGCTCAATGGAACAACTGTAGAGAATGGACATCCACTAAAGCAGCACCAGAAAGAATCTGTGGAACAGAAGAGACAAAGTTTAGGTGAAGACCTTGTGATTCTGTGAGTGTTAGACAAAACAGCAGGGTCTGCCAGTATTAGACAAACAGCAGCAGCAGAATAGTTGAAGCGTGGTTGTTTAAGGATGAACTACGTACCTGCTCAGACTTGGATTAGACACCTGCATTGTGTATACACGGTGAAGTGAGAAGAACCTGTTAAGAAATAGAATTAGGTCACGAATATGGAAATCCCAGGATGGTACCGTTGTTGATATGCATTGTTGTAATCGTACCTACTGAAACGTGTCACGGCTGTTAAAACACCTTTCACACTCAGTAAGCAGAAAAACACAGAAGTATTTTTATAGTTAACAGAAATCGAGCAAAACTTCAAAAGGTTCAATGTCATACAGTTTGCACAAATCTCCATAGAGAGGTAGTTTTTAAAATACACTATTTTAGGTTTCTATGTTCTGTAGTCTTTAATGTGTAATGCAGCCTTTGAAAATGAGGCAGACTGCATTTAACATCTTGAGCGTACCGTTCCATAGTAAGATGTTTAGCCTGTTGCTAAAAATGAGTTTATGTCAGTATTTATTTAATGCACACAATTCAGTTCCGGATACTTGTGCATGTATTTGTTTAATATTTGTGTAACTTATTTTTCTCCTCAGGGAGGAGCAGAAAACAATCCTGCCCGTAACTTCTTGCTTCAGTCAGCCGATCACAACATCTGTTAGCAATGCAAGCTGCCTGCCCATCAGCACATCAGTCAGTGTTGGCAGCCTCATTTTGAAAACTGCTCACATTATGTCTGAGGATAAGAATGACTTTTTAAAGCCTGTTGCAAATGGCAGGATGGTTAACAGCTGAAAGGCATTCATCTTTCCAGCTTGTGACCACACCATGGAAGCATTTACACTAGCTTTTTATATATATAATATATATTATATAATGTATATTTTTTTTAAAAAAAGTAATATTGGGGTCATGCATTTCCTGTGGACTCTTTGATACTTCAAGCCCCTCTCGCATTAGCATTCTGAAGAAGAAAAAACTTACTTTACTAGGGTAAGGCGTTCACTTTCCACAAACGAATGGAATTTGGACATTGTTTTACTTAAGCTTAAAGCAGCTTTTTATGAGTTTGTAGCAATCCGGTGCGGTATCTGAGCCATTCTTGTTGAAAATGGCTTCTGTAGAAAACTAACAACTCAGTTATTTAAACTAGCAGGATCCTACAATGATACATCTAGTGAAAGGAAGACTAACTTATTTGTCTCTATTTTGTTTCATGAGAGAAGAACTGGTGTCTCGTTGCAGCTGCTTTTTCTTTAGTTGTGGAACTTTGCATGGAGTATTGTTTCCTGTTTGAAGACTGAGAGGTGGAGATTTGGACTTGAGACTTTTACAGGGTTAACACACCATTAGCTTTGCACTGCTAGGTTATTTGCAGGTCTGTGGTGCAGTGCTTTGCTGCAGCTTTTCGTTTCCAATTACCCCCCCTCCCCTCAATTTCTGCTTTAGTACTGTAGATAACGCATACACAGGCTACTTGTCCAAGTGAAGTTACCAGAAGTAAACCAAGTGCCTAAGTCCTCCAGCTAATGTACTAGGTCTTGATTTCCCCAAGTTACACGTGAAACAATTTTAAACCATTTTGAGAGGTTATGCACTAATGTAACAGCGGTTTGGGCTTTTTAGTTCTCAACTTGGAGATGATAGAATCCAGATGACTTGGCAAAAAGTATCAGGTGCTCTTGGCTTTCCTTTGAAAACCCTGTGTGTAGTGTTTGCACTGACTAACAAGATGGTATTGCTGTTTTTTGTACTGTTTTGTTTTTAATTTAAACTAAATATTGGGAATTTAAGGCAGTTGTATTACCTTTGTTAAATGTTGTTAATCATAATTTTGTATTCAGGTTTAATTTTTGCTTGTTCAGTGGCAACTTATTTTCAAAGACCCTGAAAATACAATAATATAGCATTACCTGACCTTCAGAGACTGAAAAGTGTATGAATTATGCCCTGTTAAGATGTGACTGAGAATCATATTAGACATGTCAACTGAAAATTGGTTTTCATAAATACACATGAACTAGAGCCCTGGGCATATTTTATTTTTGAGAAGCTTAAAAATACACTTCTTTTTTTTTTTTGGTAAAGAAAGCAGGACTCTTCCTCCTCATGATTACTGTCTTCTTGTTTGTCCTCTTACTTTTCTTTGTGTCAAGTTTTACCTTTTTTTTTTTTTTATGTTTTTATTAACTTCTGTGAAGTTGTTTACTCTGAAAATTGTACTGGAATATTTTAAGCCAAGCTGATCTTTCACCAGGTGTACTGCATGTAAGGGCTTTTCCTGCTAGCAAAATGCTTAAAGAGGATCATGTTACTGGTCGTCTGAGTTGTTATTTTACAAAATCACAGCTGTGTGGTCGGGTAAGATTTTGATAACTGTTTTGTGCACGCTTCTGGGGGGTGGGGGTTGGCATTTCCCTGAGGGTTACTGATTAGACTAAGTAAATATTGGTGTTTGATATCTCTCTCTCTCTTAAGGAACCTGTCCATTAAATAATTATGTTGTAAATAGACCTGAAAATCCAAGGGTTAGTTTTGATATTCTGGTGTCAGTATGGAAGATCTTACACATCTATTTAATACTTCAACGTAAAGGAATGTCTGTAGAAAAACAGTCAAGTAGTCTTTTCTTAGTTTCCTTTGGCTGTCGCTGTTCCTTCCTGTAGCCAGTGCCACCTCGTAGCTAGGATTAGACCGATGCTTTGTTTCACTTGCAACTTGAAGTGAATGGATACGAGAACCAGACCACCTTTGTCACCTTAACTTATTTCCTATTGATGTTAACTTCAACTTAGAATGTTAGACCTAAATACGATTGTTGTATATTTTATACCAAGACCATTCTGTAAATATGAATTTATATTACTTTTGAAATGCTTCTGAGATACTATTATTTGCTGTACAATGTAATTCCAAAACGGATATGCAAACAAGTATGTCTCTTTCATGGATATTTAAACAGTGAGATCTTCCATGTTGAAGGTGATGTAATTTTTTTAAAAGATTTTTAAATTTTAAATTGCTATTTTGTTACAAAAATAGAGAAAATATAAAGGTTTGAGAAGTCCTTATTTGTTTTTTTAAAGAGCCCTCTGTGCACCAGAACTCCACAGAACATCTTCAGCATGATCTGAGGGTGAATATATACTACATAAATTGATTGTGTATTTACCTTAACTTTTTAATTTTAAAATTGCAGTTTTAAAAAAAAACTTGGTTGTGCTCTGCTGGAGGGGGTTTGGGATAAGCTGCTTGCACACATTTGCCTGTTTGTCCAGTGAAATTACATAAGCCTAACATATTCCTGCCAACCCTATTGGCATATTTAAGAACAAATGGATCTATATACTCTTGTCTGCAGCAGGAGGTCCCGTGATATAGCAGTTCTCTAGGATGACCATACACTTCATATGGAAAGTTGGTTCTTAACTGAGGCTGGTTGGTTTTGGTTTTTTGTTTTGGGTTTTGGTTTTGTTTTTTTTTTTTTTAGTTGAATTTTTAGTATATAGAATGACAGGCAAAATAATTATTTGGGGGTTCTAACAGCATGCCAGCTTTGTCTTAATGGTTTTAATGCTGACTGTGTGGTTTTTGCCATGAAACTATGCCCTCCAGTGCCCTGACAAGGCGAAGCTACAGGTGGGAACTTGGTTCTGGCTTTCTTCTTTGGTGAAGTCTCAGCCCTTGACCCTGTAGAGACAAGTATGTATTCATTTGTCTAGTTGCAAATCGGGTGGTGCCTTTGGGCTGTGGAAGGGCTCATTTTCTGACACCGAGATCCAGTGACTGATCTTTGTTCATAGCAGTGATTCCCGTTGAGGTTTTGGCCTGATACCTGTGATGTCAGAAAAAAGGCCCAGAGCAGATCGGGGAGAAGAGATTGGCTCTTTAGCTTTGCTCGGACAAGCATTTGGGGTTCTTTTGTTGGATGTTTTGGTTGTTTGGTTGGTTGTTTGTTTTTTTTTCCCCACTAGGGGTACAGCAGGGATTTCACATGCAAGAGATACAGGAATTATTAGTATCTAAGTTAATTGTGTTGCCTCACTACCTGGATTCATACCTTGGTTTGCCTCATTTCCCACATAGGTCTTAATAGAGACTAGTGCTTGTGCTGGGAGAATGCTTGCGTGAGAAAGTAATTATCTGTACATTCTTAACCTATAGCAGAGTGATTGCCCTGCTACTGATATTTTGTTCCTGTAAACAGGTGACAAGAAATGAATCTTAGTGTTTATGCAGATTTTGCATTGTAGAATGTATACTAGACCCTTCAAAGGAAAGGTTAGACTCTTTGCAAAGCAAACTGGCGTTGGTTCTTGGTAGTCTAGTACAGGGACACTAAAGTTTGACATTTAATTTAGGGGGAAAAAAAGAAAGTTGTACGCAGCTGATTATGTTAAATAAGCTCTTAATTACTCTTTGTAGAAGTCTAATTTGGAAGGTTTTAGTACTTTGATAACACAATTGAAATTTTAATTTCTCCTGTACTCAAGAGCTGAATGTTGTTCTTGTATAATAGTGTACTAGGCTGGAAGAGGTACTAAATATTGCACAGTGGTCAGAAACAGCTGAGGAAAGAATGCTTAAAATAACTCAAACTCAGAATAGTTCCAAACATTGGGTTTTGTTTGCTTTTTTAAAGCACAAGTTGTCAAGTTGTACCTGTTGCTGTACATAAACACTGTATGCCAGCAGCTCCTTGATCATATTTGTGAACAGACTTTTCATTATTATTAGACTGTTATTAAAGGAAGACGTTGAATTTGAGAGTGTAACAAAATGAGAAACGATCGGATGATCTATGGTATGTAAAAGTCCATTCTTTATGTTGTAGTTTAATCCCCTTGTTAGGAAATTCCCTCTCATTGAGGGACCTCTTCTGCAAGCAGAACACAATAAATGTGCTTTTTTAAATGACCCAATTTTCCAGTATAAATGAACAGCTGACTTTGGCAGTAGTCATCACCACGTATCTCTCTGCTGGCAAGGGAGCATGACGGGGGGAAAAATAAATTAAAATAAATTAAATAAATTAAAAAAAAAAGCCCACCTGTCAGTGATGAAGTAAACCAAATCTGAATAATCAGAATGACCAAGACCCAAACATAATACTACACCCTGTTCTTTTAAGAAGGATGCTTGTGGAAGCTTTTAATCACTCAAGATTTTGCTGTAAAAGCTGAAATAAACCAGAGCCTGGCTGCATTTATTACTGCCAAAAGCCAAGGTCATTTGCACATAGCCATCAGTTTATCCAGAGTAGGTCTCAGTTAATCCAAGGCATGGAAATGCATGCATTTTCTTAGCTGGGCAAACAAGTACATTATACGGTAGTTGTGATACAACACACGTGGCTTTTATTTGTACTGCACATACCCACTGTACAGCCACTCAGAAGTATTGTGGTTAGCTTGCAGCATCTGCTGTCCGCATTTATACTGTTTACTGCGTATTCTTTTCCCTGGAAGTTTTAAAGGAAAAAAAAAAAAGAATAATTTTTTTTTTTTTTCTTGTTGCATTGATTACATTTTATAAATTTGCTTAGCTGGAAAGTTTGGGAAAAGAGGCCTGTTTGTCAATTGTACAACCGATTGTGAAGCTCTAGTGTGAATATTTTTACGTCTGTATTAGACATTTTCTTTGCAAATCTATTGTTCGATTGAAATGTAAATGAAATAAAAGATGGTGTACACCCATCATGTATAAAGCAGGCACCATCGCTACGATGGATTTAATGCTCATTTTTATGGCGCATTCTCAGCTTCTATTTAAAACTATAATTTAAAAAAAAAAAATAAATAATAAAAAAAAAATCTGTAAAATGAAATGGGGATATATGGGGGAGTAAATTCTATTCCGTTTATTTCGGTTTTGAGTTCCCAATGGTAACGTTTCCCTTCGTGTTAGATAGAAGTGTGGGGCCCGGCGGGGCGGTCCGTCTGTGTTTGCTGAGGTTTTTCGCGTTGGCTGGTGACGGAGTAGAGCAGCTCCTGGTTTTCAGTGTTTTGAGAGACTTGATGGCAGAAGTTTGCAGTATTGACATGTATTTGCATGCACGAATAAAAATTATTTGTCCACCTTAATCGTCTCTGTGCTGCCTTCAAGCCCAGGGGGTGGGATGGCCGCCGCGGGTGTCTCCGCCCCGCTCCCG